GTGTGTGTGTGTGTGTGTGTGTGCATGTGCATGTGCACGCACACGCACGCACGCATGTTAAGTAGTGGATAGGATCAGCTGTTGTTCATACATGCTTTTTTCTTTGAGACACAACTCTCACTGACCTGGAGCTTGCCAAATAGGCTGGCCTGCTCAGCGGACCTCAGAGATTCTCGAGTCTGCCTCCACAGGGCTGAGAGCACAAGCACAAGCCACCGGTCCTGGCATTTTGTGTGTGTGTGAGACCCACAGCAGATCAAACTCAGGTTCTCATTCAGTCAAGAGAAGCAGTTTACCGACCAAGCATTCTCCCTGCCCTGAGTTTTAATGTTTTAGAATAAAATGACTACAAGATTTTTAAGCTCCATTTGGGAGCTTTAAAGCCTAGAATTTGGCCATTTCTTTCCGTGTTTGTTATAATTCCTCCCCTGAAACTTTTCACCAGGGTGTCTGTGGAGTTAGGTGGGGTCACGAGAGAGGGAACTTTGTCACACAAACACACACCTTTATAAATCTTTGTTTCTGTCTTACATGGATATAACCTAGAACCCCTGCTCAGATGTAGCCCATGGCAGCTCAGTATCCAAGTGGATTCCTCAGTAAGGGGAACAGGGACTGTCTCTGACATGAACTCAGTGGCTGGCTCTTTGACCTCCCCCGCCCCGAGGAAGGAGCAGTCTTGCTAGGCCACAGAGGAGGACATGGCAGCCAGTCCTGAAGAGACCTGATAAGCTAAGATCAAATAGAAGGGGAGGAGGACCTCACCTATCAGTGGACTTAGAAAGGGGCAGGGAGGAGATGAAGGAGGGAGGGTGAGATTGGGAGGGAATGAGGGAGGGGGCTACAGCTGGGATACAAAGTAAATAAGCTGTAATTAACATAAAAAATAAAAATTAAAAAAATAAATGGGTTGCACTATTAGTTTACCTGAAAAAATAAAATAAATCTTTGCTCCTTGTTTATTTAGCTACACACACACACACACACACACGAGCACGCACATATATTTTTACAAGGAGTGATCAGTTTCAAGAACCATTTAAATAGCTTTTCAGGCAGAATCTCTCTCACTATTTCTCTTTGTCACCCTTTTAATAATATTTATTGCTATTAATACATATTTACATTCCTGTACAAATTTTCAGAACTAAAAATCATGTTGTCAGGTTTCACGTATATGTGACTGTACACTCTAAACAATCTATGCAGCGTTCGTAACACTCACTGCAGTTTTAACCCCACCTTCTCATTCTTTGAGGAAAACAACCGTAAGGCAAAGACAGTATGGCTTCTGAATCCGGTATAGTAAAATACCATTCTCTGAGATGTTAAAGAGCTCTTCATTGCTAAACAATTCTTGGTCTTCGAACTGAGTTCTTAGCAAAGCTACTAAGTTGCTGCTGAGTTTAGACATTTAGCTTTGACGAGCTTGCTTAGATGGATGAAAACCATTGTTTTCAATATTCTTCTTTTTTTCAGTTGATGTCTCCCAAACAGCCCCCAAAGTCTGCGCTAAACCTAAAAGCTGGCTTCAGCACCAAAATATGCCAGGCCCGAGCCCCCGCATTTCTGCACTTTGGAGCACAAAGAGATTCTGGTGTGAGGTGCGCCTACCTCCGTGCATGGGCTGCTCTGGGCTGGTGCGGCCGTGAGAGAAACTGGAGACCCTGGAGACAGCCTAGGGCAGAGCACAGCCCTCGCAACGGGCTCAGGGACAGTCTGCCCAGCAGCTAAGGGGACCTGGCTCTGGTCCTGCCCTAAGTCCACGCACATAGGAGAGGGGTGTGCCCGTGCTGGGTAGACAAGATGGCGCGCTATGCTTGGCCCTGTCTTCTAATTTAGTTGTCTGCTGCTGGGGAATCATTTCATACCCGAGCTCCATCATCTACAGGATACACTGAATGGGAGCTCGAAGGCCTCATTTGCTTAAAGGGACTGGTTTTCAGGGTGAGGACAAGAAGGAAAACACATCTAAAGGAAAGAACCTCTCATTTAGAAAACGTTTCCTCGTCTCGGCCAAAGGCGTGAATGCAGCTGCTCTGCTCGCAAGTTTAGTTCCAGATAAACTCAACTTCCCTCCGTTGCTGTTTGTCTCAACGCGGAGAAAGAGGGTGACTTACTGGCGATTCAATGTCTTCTAGAAGTAAAACCGAACAGCGTTCGCATTTCAGCAGCGTTTGGGCCCGATGCATTATTTTCTTGACAATCTTTTCCAGGTCAGTCTGTTCTTCAAAGAGATCATTGACCACCTCGAGCAAAGCCTGGAGACAGAGATGGATGCATTTAGGGGGTGGAAGGCTGGAGTGTGTCAGCTTTTCTTCCCTCAAAACTCCAGGTAGCATCTCCTCTAATAACAAGTATTTCCTATGGCCAATTTTTAAAACATTCGTGGTTGTTCTAGCAGGGCTCTGCAATTTCATTTTTATAACGTGCTCTTAAGTTGAAAATTACAACCAGAGAATGGAGGTGTTCAGTGCGGCAGCCATGTAGTGGCGACGTGTAGGTGTTTCATGCGCTAAAGTGGTTTTTCTTCAATATGACTGAGTACAAACCCGACATTTTGTAAATCATAAGTACTTGGATCTCTCCAGAGCACATTTAGTTCAGAAAACTCCAAAGCAGCCTTTCTTCACTATTAAGAAAAAATAGCTTCATGGCTCCACTTATACCTATTTTCACTAACACATATCACTCCCAGAAGTCTGAAAGGATCATGCAGGCAAATATTAATTAAGGCCCATATATATATATATATATATATATATAATTTTCAAAATCAAGTTGCAATGACCTATTACTCTCTCTATCCAAGGGAGCTTGCAATTTATGCTTCAAAGTTAATGTATTTGTTTGGAATTTTAATGACTTTTTCAGATCTTGCTGAGTAACCAGCTGTTTACAGGTGGTAGAAATTACACTTCTTTCAGAGCCATCAGGCTGAACTGGCTTATGCTCTATTCGGTAGCATCAAGCAAGATGTTCAATCACCTGCCTGACCTTTCACGAAAGGACTCCATGGATAAACTCCACAGGCTCGAATTTACTCATCATGGTGTTGACCAACAGCCAGGGGCATGGCTGATTTTCAACTTTAGGAATTTATTCTATTTGCCCCTAAAGAATTTGAAACAAAATTTCTTCTCTGACTTGCTTGAGATGAAAAGGCCTGTGAATGAGTTAAAAGACATGTAAGGATCAGAGTCCCTGGGGCAATGTTCTCTTTGAAGAAAGATGGTGGCTGTGGATAAGGAGCATACTGCCCCTGATCCCAAAGTAAAGGGAAACACTAGGTTGCAAATTCTATGTCTGGGCTACAAAGTGAGGCCAGGACTACAAGAGAAACCTGTCTGGAAAAACCAACAAGAGAGAGAAGAAGAAGAAGAAGAAGAAGAAGAAGAAGAAGAAGAAGAAGAAGAAG